GGCTGGCAGACCAACTGGATGATTGATTGACCATCTATTAGAATGACTGACTGACAGATAGATAAGCAGACGGATAAGCTGATTGATTGATTTACTATTTGACTAACTGATTGAAAAGTGACTGGCAGAAAAAAAGGAATAATTTATGGAGTGTCACCTAAAAAATGCACTGATTGATTGACCACTGTAGAATGACTAACAGATAGATAGGTAAGTGGATTGACTGATTGTTTGATAGATTGATTGATTGAGAATCGAGACCGAAATGTATGTTACTGCAGCTCGGCGCTGGCTACAGGGTATCTGCTGGTCTACTTTCCACTGAAAATTGTTACATGCATTTATACGTTCGACTCCTTGCAGGCTTCAGGATGAGAAATTCTCTTGGCCGGTGCAAACATCGTACATGGGCTCGGATAGTGGCAATTCGTCATCCGCCTCGGGCGTGGAAAACGACGACTCGGCGGTCAATTCGATGGACTCCTCGAAACCGCCCAGCGTGGCGGGCAACGGGCAGGCGCCGGGCCGCCGGGGCTGCGGCACCGTGTCCTGTGCGCGGGTGCAATTCATGCTGAACGATTCGACCCATGTGCCCGGCGAGACCTCCAGCAGCAATGAGTAGGTGGAAACCCAAAGCATCAGCATATATATCTAAACAATTTGCCTTCCTACCCCCTACTTAGGTCCACATCGACGGAGATTAGCCAGCTGTCGAACGAGCTGCCGGGCGGGCATTTGCGTAAGGGCTCGATGCACGACATCAATATCTTTAGCGTTGAGCCGCTGGGCACCTCGTCCAATGACTGCAACGGTGAGCAGGTCTCTGGGCTGTATCGCAAGTTCATTGAGAATGTCCTGAAGTGTCGCGGTCTGGCCAAATCCCTGGCATTTCTCCATCAGCTGCACACGGTCGCGTTGTATAAGGCACACATTGCGCTGGAGAAACCCGGCGCGGAGGATCTGGAGGACTTTGAGTTGGATGCGGAGATCATTGAACAGGATGTGCCGCGCATGGATCCGCAAATCAGCCGGGAACAGGTCATCGAGCTGCGCACCTACGGCTACTGGAGCGAGGAGGCGCAGTCCATCAATCTGCCCTCGTACATTCCCACCTTTGTGTTCCTCAGCGGAATCCCGTTGCAGTTCATGCACGAGTTCCTGCGCATGCGCCTCGAGACGCGTCCGGTGCGCCCCAATCCGCTCAGCCTAGAGCAGCTAATGAAGGAGCTGCGCGAGGGTCTCACCCTTGCACTGACGCATCGCGAGCGCTACCAGCGCCACATAACGACGGCCCTGGCCGAGAACGAAACCGAGCTGGGCAGCTACATCAACATCCTCAACCAGTACGATGCGACGGTGCGCAAGACCTTCGAGCTCTATCTGGATTATATCGATCAGCTGGTGCTTGTCGCCGTGCCGGAAACGAACCAGAAGTCTGTGCTCGAGAAGGAATGGATGTTCACCAAGCTGATTAGTCCCATGATCAAGGGCATGCACACGTTGGCCTCCCAAAAGTTTTGCGGCATCATCAGCAAGCTGTTGTGCAGCATCTCCAAGCGGCTGGTTCAGCGCTCCGAGGAGCTGGATGAACAGATTGCCAGCACGGCGCACAGCAACGACAGCGAGGAGCTTAAGTGGCAGCTGCTCACCATCTGTCGGGAGACCCAGGCGCTGCTCACCGTCGAGCGAGAGCGTTCGATTAAGGTGCTCTTCTTTGCGAAGACCTTCTGCCGGGACGTCGAGACGACGGACTTCCATCGGGAGCACTACGAGCACGATGTGGCCAATCAGCAGCACGATTTCATCTGCTCGGACGTCAAAGCGGCCTTCAAGCTGCTCCAACAGGATGTGCTCGAGGTGCGCAACAAGCTGACCAACATCATTAAGGGTGTCCAGCTTAGGTGTTGCATGCGCAACATGCTCGAGCTGGACGAACAGGATCGGTTGGCGGTGTTGTCGCGTACGCGCGAGATCCTGCATCAGGGCTACAAATTCGGCTTCGAGTATCACAAGGATGTGATCAGACTGTTCGAGCAGCGCATCATGGACCAGAAGGATAGTGGACACACCGTCGACCTGGCGCTGGGCATCATTGCCTTCGCCAAGATGTGGATGCATTTTGTGATGGAACGCTGCGAGCGCGGCCGGGGCATGCGTCCGCGCTGGGCTTCCCAGGGCCTGGAGTTCCTGATGCTGGCCTGCGATCTGCAGATCACCCAGCATCTCGACGATCGTCAGTTCGAGGAGCTGAAACAGCAAATGGATCGTTGCATTTCCCATGTGATCGGCATTACCTCCGAGCCGGAGAAGGTCGCCCGCAAGAAGGCATCGCCGCGCACCCGCAAGACCTCCTCGCCGGCCACAAGTCGCTCCCGGACACCGACACGCACGCCCATGTCCGCGGGGGTTGTGGTGAATCCCAACACGCAGCCGCTGCAATCGCCGCAGTACAACAAGCTGCTCCATCCGCAGTTCAGCCTGAAGGAGGAGCTGCTGCAGCACAGCTCCGCCAGCTACAGCTCCGTAGACAGCGCCGATTTTGCCGAGGCGCCGCACAGCGCCGGCGAGCTGCGTCTCCTCGTGCCACAGACGCCGCCCATTTCCACAGGCACATCGACAGCCACATCCGGCAAAGGCAGCTCGACTCCGCTAGCATCCCGCCATGAGCGTGTGCGCGATGCGGTCAATCGGCTGGATTTGGATCTGGAGGAGCACCTGCGCGAACGCCGGCTCATCGGGCAGGTGAAGGCGCTCAATTCGTGCGACAAGATCCAGATCCGGGCACGCAGCGTCCACTTTCGCTGGCATCGCGGCATCAAGATCGGTCAGGGCCGTTTCGGCAAGGTCTATACGGCCGTCAACAATAATACGGGCGAGCTGATGGCCATGAAGGAGATCGCCATCCAGCCGGGCGAGACGCGCGCCCTCAAGAACGTTGCCGAGGAGCTCAAGATCCTGGAGGGCATCAAGCACAAAAATCTGGTGCGCTACTACGGCATCGAGGTGCATCGCGAGGAGTTGCTTATCTTCATGGAGCTCTGCTCGGAGGGCACACTCGAGTCCTTGGTCGAGTTGACGGGTGGCCTGCCCGAGGCACTGGCTCGCCGCTTTACCGCCCAGCTGCTGTCCGGCGTGGCCGAGCTGCACAAGCACGGCATCGTGCATCGCGATATCAAGACGGCGAACATTTTCCTTGTCGATGGCAGTAACAGCCTGAAGCTCGGCGACTTTGGCTCCGCGGTCAAGATCCAGGCCCATACAACGGTGCCCGGCGAGCTGCAGGGCTATGTCGGCACCCAGGCCTACATGGCGCCAGAGGTCTTCACCAAGACGAACAGCGATGGCCATGGCAGAGCCGCCGATATCTGGTCCGTCGGCTGTGTTGTCGTTGAGATGGCCTCGGGCAAGGTGAGTTCACGTTCCGATAAGCCTGATAAACTGATAAGCCCCTGATAAACGCGACTCGACGGCCCTCAGAACTATTACGAATGAGCAATCGCTAATTGGTCGCACAGTGCGCCAATAATGTGACTAATCCATCTAGCATTGATTGATTGATTGACAAACGACGGACTCTCTGACAGAAAGACTGATGGACTGACTGATTGATTGATCAAATAGTTCGGGTATGGTGTGACTATTCTATCTAGCATTTTAGCCAAAAAAAGGAGAACTAACACTGACGAATTGACAGATTGATTGACTTACAGATTGACTGATTGACGGACTCTCGGACTGACAGACAGACTGACTGATTGATCAGACGAACAGTTCGGCAATTCTATTCTATCTAACATATTAGCGATAAAAATGAGAATTATTTTTTGTCTACTGGAGAATTAACAGACTGCTTGAATTATAGATTGACTGATAGACAGACTAACTGATTGATCAAACAGTTCGGGAATTATTTAGTGACAAAAAGAATACTATTTTTTTTCCATTGACGTATTAACAGACTGATTGACTTACTGATTGACAAATTACAAAGGCAGGCAGACAGACAAACAGACAGACTGATTGACAAATGGTAGGATTGATGGAGAAAATGTTTGATCTATTACAAGCGGACTGACTGACTCATTGATTGATCTAATATTAATATGACTGACTAAAGAACAATTGACTGAATGTCTGATTGATCGACAGATTGATTGATTTAGTAAATGTTTGGCAGCATTTTAAAATGCTTGATTAATTAGCAATTTATAACTGACTGATTGATCGATAATGACAGACTGACAGTAAATATTCTAGCAAATGGCAAAAAACCTGACTGACTGATTGATTGACCCTCTATTAAAATGACTGACTAATGAACTAATGACTGACTAAATAACTAATGATTGAAGGCTTAACAAATAGTTTTGTGCGCTTTTATATGAGCCGTGCGTCACACTTTACAGAACATTTATGGAGCTATGTGACCAGAAGACGAACGGTCAGTTTTAGACCTATTTCCTTTTGCCATGCAAAGCCTGAAAGTACCTTGCTAGTATCTTTATAAACTGTTTTATTTTCGTTTCGATCCATTCAGCGGCCCTGGGCACAGTTCGATTCAAATTTCCAAATCATGTTCAAAGTGGGCATGGGCGAGAAGCCGCAGGCGCCGGAGAGCCTCTCGCAGGAGGGTCACGAGTTTATCGACAGCTGCCTGCAGCACGATCCCAAACAGCGTCTATCGGCCATTGAGCTTCTCGAGCTCAACTTTTGCAAGGTAAGCTCCAAGAAGATTCCACTATCTAATATATTATTAATGAAACATTCCTCTTGCAGTCTGGTCGCGATGAGGAGTGCAGCAGCGAGCAGCTGCAGGCCCAGATGCGCGGCTCCTTCCGACGCAATGTGGTGCAGATCTGATCCGGCAGTTAGTTAATCCTAATATCGCACACACACATACATACTTATGCTTATGTGTGTGCAAATGTGTGTAATTTATGAGAGGTCGTCGTTTTTGTATGTTGGACAATAAATATTCCCAGAAATTGGACAACTTCGAATTCAAATTGCAAATTTATTAAACTTTCATACGCCGAGCGTATATCCTGACCCCGTTAGGATTCAAGCAGATCCAGCGTAATCGCCGTAGGTTGTGTCTATTGTGGGCACATTTACTGTTGTCAGCATGGGTGGCAAAGGTGGAGCATCCTCACCGGAATCGGCGCCGGGCGCACCATTTGGTGGCGTGGGTGCCGCCGTCGAAATGGATGGCACCGTTTGGGCCTGGATCAGCGGCACGGAGCACAGCAGAAAGGCCAGGCACAGGCTAAGCAGCAAGTGGAGTACTACAAATATTTAAATAAATTTATAATCCTTCAGGTTAAGTTAACGGCGACTTACGTTTCATGTTGGTTGTTTGGCGTTGACTGTTGGAACGCAGCTGACAATGCGAGACTTTTATGGACAACGCAATTTTGCTATTTTTTAATTAATTAAAAAAAAACCGATTAATCAGCCACTTATCTGCGTCAGCTTATCGCAGCCGGAATAAGTTTAATATTGGATATGCGACGCTTCTGGGAATCCAACCTAGATATTAGACTATATACTAGATATACATAGCATATATAATATATATATGTAGGTCAAGATGGTAGTCGACAGCTTTCAATGCAATGTTTCGATTTATTTTTGTGATTTCCTTTTCGTTTATGTTTTTTTTTTTTTCGCATGCATTAACTTGGAACGAAAAGCGAACCTAACGACATATATATATTGAACAGATAATAGCTAGGATAGGTTCAACGAATACATAAAGTACATATATATATATATATATATATATATATATATATTTATATGGCAACAATGAACATTTTAACATTTTCATATAAGAATTTCCCCTGTGTATAACATGGTATATTTATATATATATATATCATCGAGTATATGTATAACACATAGTAAGTACATAGAACAGATATGGCTAAAATATATAATATATATATAGTATATGTTTTTTGTAGTTGTTTCTAATATTCGTTTTATTAATTTGATATGTTTTGCCTTTTTTTTTGGGTAAATACTTTATATAAATTTACTGATATGTATTGTTACATTTCAAGTCTATATACGTACAATGATTTTTAATTTGTTATTTAACAAAACTTTAACTTTAACTTCAACAATATTTGTAGTATTAATCATATCGGAAAGCCTATATTTTGTGGCTCCCTCTAGCAAGCATATAGTTCAAATAATTTATAGATTTTTTTGATTGAAACAGCAACAAAAAAAACATTTGATTATTATAGACTATTCAATATACTTGCAACATCAATTTCTAATAACATTTTTTCTATAATGCGAAAACACAACGTTGAACAAAAAGTATTGCATACTTTTGAGTGCACACGCACAGTGGCGGCCAAATTGATAGGCATGCCTCGGAAATTCGTGTCGGACAGCCAAGCTAATAGAATAATATTGCACAATTAACCAACACATACAGATATATATATATTTTTTGTTCATTTAACAGCACTAACAATTGCGCATAAAATTGCTCTAAAACATTTAATTGACCAGAGTTTCTCCATGTCATATCTACTAATAGTTTGGGTTAAAGCAAATGAGTTTCAATATGATTACAGATGATTGACATCAGTTGTGCAAATCAATCAGCGTATCTGATTGAAATGACTTGTACAACACTAAAAGTATTTCTCTTTGTTTTTTTTTTTTTTTTTTTTTGTAAGAACTTCTGACGTCTTGTGGACGCTAGTTAACTACGGTTTACATAGGTATTTTGTATGCCCTTGCAGACTGAATTGTTTACTTGTAAATCAGGAATTTTCGACCTTATAAATCAACAACTAATTCTCAAGAAAAATAATAGTGTAATAAGTTAAATAATAGGCTCTAGGATTAATATTATAATAGATCAGTGTGTTTTATCCCAAATCGTGGCACACCAATAGTATTTAGGGATTGGTTTACAAACTAAATTAAGAGAAAACAACTAAGAGGTTCTAGCCGGGAGCTCCCGACTAGGGTATACCCTGAACCCTCTTCATCCAACATCAAATGCATAAATATATATTCTATTTTAGAAGCTTGGTGATTCTAGCTTTTATTATTTACCAAAATTGCCCAAAAAACAGGATGCCGATATCGATTTACCGATTGCTTGGAAACGAAGTAAGTTATCGATTATCGGAAACAAACTCGAACACCTAGGAGCACCTTCATCTAAAATTTCAAGTCTCTAGCTCTTATAGGTTCTGAGATTCTTGCGTTCATACATACGGACGGACGGACGGACGGACGGACGGACGGACGGACGGGCGGACGGACGGACGGGCGGACGGACGGACAGACAGACGGACATGGCCAGATCGACTCGTCTTTTGATGCTGATCAAGAATATATATACTTTATGGGGTCGGAGATGCTTCCTTCTGCCTGGTACATACATCTGCACTTTGCACAAATACAATATACCCTTATACCCATTTTTAATGGGTTCAGGGTATAAAAAACCAAGAGAACAAAATAAAAACCTATATAAACATGCAATGGAATGTGGTTCCTAGAAAATTGGATCGAAATTCTGCTGAATGTCTGCAAGGGTATATATTATTCGGCTAACCGAAGACTAAATAAAGTGCTCCTTCTTTTAAGGTTTTCCCTTTCTTGTCTATAGGTTTTCCTCCTTCCTGTTTCCTATTTTCTTCTTCTTATAAGTTGCTATTTCTTTCTTTTTCTTGCCAATATAACTTAATGCTTCTCTCTGTTTTTCCTTTTCTTCTCTATATAACTTTATCCTTATATCTGGTCTTCCCTTTCTTCTCTATATAATTTGTTCCTTCTTTCAGGGCTTTCCACTTCTCCTCCTTGAGTTGTATAGTTAGGGAGATCCATTAGGATCTTCATGGACAAATTGTTGCTAAGGTACATTTAATGATATGTTTGCTTTGTTGTGTTGCTTTTCGCTTCGTTATTTATATCTAGTTCTGGAGCAGGTCGCGCATTATGTCGAGCGAGTCCTGCAGTGATTTGGCATAGCGTGAGGCGCTCGTATCCTCGCAGGCGTAGAAGGCCGACACGCAAAAGACAATCTGTTCCGGCTGCGGATTATAGGAACAGCCATAGCCACGAGGTGTCACCGGACCGTAGCCCATGAAGCTGTCCGTGCTGCAGGCGACCTGTTGGAACGGGAACAGACGCGACAAAGATCAGATGGAATCGGAGAGATAGGTCTACAGAGCTTAAACCTAGGTGGCTTACGTGTAAAGCTCGAGGTGCTGTTGGTGCAAAAGTTAAGCATTAAGAGAAATGTGGTGCAAGGACAATAGATAAGTGAGAGGTGCTTAGTGCTTGGTGCGGGCTAAGCGAGCAAAGCTGGTCAACGCTCGGGAATACCTGACTGGTGGAGAGCAGAAAGCATTGCGATATCTTGTAGGACTCGTCTGTGAAGAGCTCATGCAGCTCGCCGGTAACCTCGACGGAGGCCTCGCGCAATCCCAACAATGGTATATCGATGCCATTGCCCAGAATATTCCGGACCATCACCTCTGTCTGGCGGGCGACGGCGCAGCGGAAGAGCTCCCGCAAATGCTCCTTCTGTCAAAGAATTTCGAAAGTTTACAAGCGTTGCCTTTTTATTCGACCAGCTTTATATGGAATACTCACGCTATAAATGCTAAATTTGACTTTCCGGGCATCCTCCTCGTCATCTTCGCGATCGCTCTCCAGCGGCACATTGGCGCCTTCGCCCTGACACATGGCTTTGGCCCATTCCAGGGCCTCCGTGCTGGCGGCACGTATGCAATCCACGCGGCCCTAAAGATCAGCACAGGCTTAGCAAATGGAATACGATGTAATAGATGTATTAGAATTCATGTGCTTACGTGCAGGAAGCGCCTGGTGGAAGCACTCTCGTAGGTAGCCACGAGGTGGCCGTAAAGTCTGAAAGAAATTAATTTCGTTTTTGGGTAAACTATTTACATATACATATTTACGAACATATTGCAGACTTGAACAGTCTTTGAATCTTGTGAGTCGACAATGACGGAAACACGAGTCAGATAGTAAAATCGATTGAGTATTCGAGTTGGTTGCAACTGAATTGTCTGATCAGGACTCGAATTGGAGTTCGAGGCACGCATACTCACTTGTAGTGGGCCAGCTGCAGTGCGAGCTGTATGTAGACATCCGGGCTGACCTGGCAGGCCTTGACAAAATTCTTGCCATATCCGTTGTAGCGATAGACGTAGAAATCCAGATTGTCGATGGCCTTGTCTACGCTGACGGCGGCCTGCGGAAAGCGCAGCTGCACCTCGGCTGGGACATGCCACTCAAGACGCTCCGGCGGCGGTAAATGATGCTGCGGCAGGCCGTTGTCATCGAACGGCTGCTCGAGAATCGACTTGTAGATCTTCTCCAGCAGCTGCACAACGGCGATGCCCTCGGAGGTGGAGTGCTCGTAGCACAGGCCCCAGCTGCCGTCCGTGCAAATGATGAGCTGCCGCAGGAGAAAAAAAAGGGTATTAGCTTCAGGAGAAAGATGGATTATTCTCGGGCTGGCCCACCTGCATGGTCTTGTCGAACCAGCGGTTGGCAGAATTGAACTCGCTGCCGCCACCATGGATCATTTCGTGCGCCATGTTCGTCTCATCCCGTTCGCCGGCCATGTGCATGCTGGGCGTGGCACCTGTAAAGCCGCGTGCATTGAAATTGCGGCCCAGCGGCTCGTCCAGGCAGAGTACGACCAGCGCCGTCTCGATCAGCTCCAGATTGCGCTGATTGCGTTCATCCGACTGCAGTGCCTCCCGATCCCGAGCCCACTGGGAGCGTGGCTCGGCTGTCAGCAGCCCGATAGGCGCCGGCTTGGCGGGCAAGCATGGCGCATCGCTGAGCACGTACAGGATCTGGGAGGCAATTTCGCTCTCCGAGAGTTTGCCACGATCGCTGGCCTGCAGCACGACGCAATACATCTGATTGCGACAGATGACTACCACGTGGCGATCCTCCTCGCCCGGCTGCTCACACCTGGGCAAATACTGCGAGTCGCGCTCCACGCCCGGACGACGACACGAGCCGAGCAGGCGATAATACTGGGCCATGCACAGCGGCTGATTCTTCTCGCGAGAGGCGGCACGCTCCAGCGGCAGCTGCCCGCTGTCCAGCATCTCCTTGTGGGCGAGCAGCCCGTCCAGTAGCCGGGCCGCAAAGTGGGCCACATCGTGCACGGTACGGAAGCGGCGAGGCGGAAAAACCATGCCAGGATTCGAGTTGATCGGCAACGGGATGCGCACATTCATGTACATGTCGTTGAGCCAGTAATAGTAAGCCTGCAGAGTACATGGAAAGCGCATTATGAATACAAATTCAATTAGCACGGACGGGAGTTTGGGCGCGGCCCACTTAGAATTTTTGGGGGGAGGCACATTATCAGAGGAATGTCTGATAAAGCATCTAGGCAGATCGCATCAGCGCGTAGATCTCTGATAAGGTGTGCGTATAAATAATGCTCGGCGCGGCTCGGCAAAACCAGTTCAACAGTTTCATCTAACCACGACGGACAGCTCCACGGATACCAAACACACCCAAGATGAAAGGTGAGCAGCCGTCGGCTCCTTCTACTTCCTCTACTCACATTTACATTTGCTCCCACTTTCCAGTGTTCGCTCTGACTCTGCTCGGCCTTTTGGCTTTGGCGCAGGCGCGCATCGATTACAAGCTGCAGTGCACCCGGGATGAGGTGGGCATACGCTGGCCCAGCTATTACAGCAACTCCGAGTACTATGTCTGCCAGAGCGTCTACGGCAGCCAGCTGACTGTGCATTGTCCCGCCGGTCAGGTCTTCACATTTGTGCTGCAGCAGTGTGCCGCCCCAGCTCTGTATGTGCCCGCTCCGCCCATGGATGTGCTGCCGACGGCGGCACCCATAACGACGCACCTGGTCGACGAGGCGCCGCCCGTGCTTGCGTCCGTTGGCGGCGTGCAGCCCATTCATGCCCATGAGCCCGCCCAGGAGCAGGTTGTGCATGCGCTGCCGCTGGATCCCACACCGCCCACACCGCCCACGGAGCCACCAACGCCGCCCACCGTGGCCGTCGAGGCGCCCAAGCCCGGCAAGAAACCGGCCGCACCGCAGCCGCCAAAGACCGCCGCGCCCAAGAAGCCCGCCGCCAAGAAGCCAGCGGCCCCGGCTCCGCCCAAGGCGGCCAAGAAGCCAACGCCGCCCAGCAAGGCACAGAAGAAGCCCCCAACTCAAAGCTCGGCTTAAAGAGGCGCCGCCTTTGCAGCTCCAGTTCCATTCCCGGAGATTTAACAACTAAAATTAATGTTCAACAAGCGGAATTTCATTCAAAACTCTAAATAACACCCAAATAAATATCTTTACTGCAATCGCTCCACAAATATTTATTTAGCCATGGGGAAGTGCCTGTTCCATAATAACATGTGTATTAAAACACACACACACACACACGCACACATAGACACAGCCGTATGTTAATCAATCAATCAATCAATTAGCTAATGGACCTTGTTGTCCCATGCCGAACACTTTTAATTGATTAATAATTGTAACTAGAAACTGCCAAGAATTCAGCGGGTGAATGTTTTCTTGATAAGCATGCACGTCTAGCAGATACCCTGGGGGCTAGTCAAATGCTTGGAGATTTTCATCTATATTTTAAACTTTTAATTGATTAATAATTGTAATTAGAAATTGCCAGGGGTAAATGTTTTAGTCTAACATGCTCGACTAACAGATACCCTGGGGAGTAGTCGAATACTTGGAAATTTGTTTACGAAAAGTAAAACTTTTAATTGATAGAAATCGGGAAAAATTCGGCAGTTGAGCATGTACGACTAGCAGATACCTCGCAAATACTCGGATAATTGGAGGTTTTCTACTAAAATTACAACTTTTAGTTAATTAATGATTGTAACTAGATATTGACAAGTATTCGGCAGGTGAAAAAGTTGTAGTTAGGCATGCACGACTAGCAGATAACCTAGAACTACCTCGAATGCGTTGAAGATTTTCTACTGAAAATGCATTTTATTTGTTATCTAGTATTTAAATAATCTAAAAGACAGAACAGTTGGAAGTGTGAACGACTGCGATATACCCTGTAAAATGTATTTTCAAGAAGCACTTCCTGTTCACTCGATTTTACATTATAGAAAATTATTTAAAAAATAAAGAAATATATTTAATTGAGAACTGTCTCCATTTGTGTTCTTAATCTTTTCCATTTGAGTCAATTTGTTATCAACATTTTCGCAATACTTTTGTTTGAATTATTTACATATCTGAAAGGTATATTATTCAATTACTTAAATATTGAATACCGGCATATTAAACAATCTTTCGACTAGGTTATGTATATAATATATATTAAAATAAAAATTTACCGAATTCGGAATGCAGACTATTTACGAAACGCGTAAAAATCTACAAGGCCTGCTCCTTGCGAGTCTTACATTTATCTGGCGTTATTTATTTGAATTGTGTGTACTAAAATTTACAATTTTTTTTTTTTTTAAATGATTTCAGAATCAATCGAAATTTGAATGTAGATTGAAGTAAAAGTAAGACTCTATTTAATTGAGTTATGGGAAATTCGAATGTAATACTTTTTAATTTTTAACAAATTTGTCGCATACTCGATAAAAGGATCAGAATCCTGGCTCTAATTTAATGAGAGATTGCGCGAAATATGGCTTAAAATTATTTCCGATCACTTTGTATTTCCGAAGAAAGACAGAGCTCCATTTATCGCCCAGCATGTTGGTTGGGTTATGAATAAAGTCGTTTTCGGGGGAGATACGAAATGTTATTAGCAGCGAGCAGATGATAAAATTCAGCGGAAATATTTTTGATATGAATTCAACTCACAGAAGATTGGGAAAGGGGGAATGTCAGCTATGCTAATTGGCCTGGCAAGGGGAAGAGCTGGGCGCTTGGGAATGGGGAAATATAGTTCCGATTATACAATAATTAGCGAAGTCTTGTGCTGCACGTTATCTAAGTACATATGCCAAAGATTACCCCGGTTACATAGAATTGAATTCTGATTTTGACAAGAATTAATCTAGACGCGGCAGCTGATTACAAATACCTCAACAGTTGGAGCCGGAGCCATAAAAGGCCTTGCCACGGGCCACGTTGAGCAGTCACAAGCAACCAGCGAGTCGTCGAGCAGCAGCAGCAGAAATATGAGAGCCGGTAAGCAGCTGCCGGTTGTCGCCTGGAGAGGATCTCACCAATTTTGCTTTCAGTTCTAATCGCAGTCACCGGACTGTTGGCCATCAGCGTCCGGGCCCAGGAGAGTTGCGTCACGCCCGAGTACACGACAGATATCGTTCCCGTGTGCCAGGCGAATCTACGCATCAAGCTGCCCAGCTACGCGGATCCGACCTCCTACTATTCCTGCACTACGGGCAAGCCAATCCTAACACAATGCAAGGCGCCAACGGGTTACTTCAGTTATGTGCTCCAGGAGTGCACGTCCTGTGCCAATTACCTACCCGCCGTCGCGTGCGAAGAGATTAAGCTGAATCTGAAATGTGAGCCCATCAGCGAGTCCGGCGTGACCACCGCGGCACCACCAGGCAATTCTACGGCTGCACCAACCACGGTCACAACTGCGGCACCACCAGGTGATTCAACATCGGCTGCCCCGACCACGGTCACCACCAAAGATCCCACGACTGCTGCACCCACAACGGTGACTACGGGTGCCAGCACCACGGTCGATGGTAATGAGCCATCCGGCACCACAATTTCCATACCCAATCCACCGTCCCCGAACGATCCCAATGTACCCGCGCCGCCCACTCCGGCGCCCACGGCCGGCACCATTGTCCCCGGGCCACCAACTGTCGGCGTCTGAGAATATATAATCCTACTAACCATTATCCACATGCACATGTATTAATCTATACTTAAGTGCACTTGCTTTTGGAATTGAATAAACTTTTCACAGTGCAATGATTGACATACATACACACCTTTGCAAATATTACCCGGCCAGGGTTCAAAAATATTTCAATTGGGTTTTCTTTGCGCTTAAGTTTTACCAATTGTAATAAGTAGATATTCTCTGTTTTTTGAGTAAAATTCTTGTCAATGAATTTAAGGCCAAGCGGATAAAAAATATTTGGTATATGCCAACCTTGCGACACTAGTCATCAGTCAATCAGTCACACAAGTATTCAGAGAATTGCAGCAATAGCAGCTCATCCAATTATCCTCGGCCTCGCGCTTGTCCAGCAGATACTGATGCAGTCGGGGTCCCAGACCCTGCGGCGACATGAACTCCTTGATGATGCCCTTGGTGCGTTCCAGCTGCGCCGGCGTTGTGATGGGCTCCAGGGCGAGCACATAGTCGGCCATTGTCTGATCTAGCGGTGGGACAGGCACCTTCGGCAGAGTCTGAAAGCCAGAAAGGGTTCAGTTGTATTATTTTATTTTCTATTTTGGGAACTTCAGTCAAATTGTATTTGGCTTTAGCTTCCCCTCTTTCGCTCTTGCTCATTTATATGCAGGACATTATGGCAGTTAAAATACAAAATTCCCTGCTCTAGCCGGGCACGAAAGTGTATGCCCCAGGGACCCAAATTTCAAATCACAAAAAAAGAAATAAATAAAAAGCATAGAGTATTGGAAAAGGGGCCAAAGCAGGGGATTGGCATGAATCTGACATTGGGGCGTGCTGCATTAACTTCCTCCAACTTGGAGGGCGAGCTGCTTGGCATTTCCTTGGCATTTGCTGTGCCCTGTCACGGACAACTTGAATTGAGAGCTCCGGCTCTTGAGATTCCCCAGTGGCCCAACACAATTTCATAATAAAAAGCGAGTTTTGTGCGGCAGTTCCTGTCGTTTTGTGAAGCGCAGCTGCTGAGTTATCGATATCGATTATTCCGAATTTGGCAATAGCCAAAATAAGTTATATACAAAGAATTTATTTATCTATCACAATTCTATTAAATCTTCTTGGAAATTCTATGCTGCACAGCAATTTAATTTGCAACTTTTCTTTATATGCAAATGACTTGGAATTATTAAATCCCAACATAGGGTATGTGAACAACTGAGTTATCGGTATCGATTATTTTGGCTTTTGCGATAGACAAAAGGAGCTCTTTACAGCTCTTTACTATCGCAATTCAGTTAAATGTCTTTCAAATTCTATGTTGCATAGCTATTCAATTTGCGAAACGTTTCTCTGTATTCAATTGACTTGGAATTCTTAAGCAGAGGGTATGACACACATTGAGAAATGTGCCGAGTCGATATAGTTTGTTACCCCCCCTCTCAGTCTTTTTGCTATAATATACCCCGGAGTAAGCCAAATCTGACCATCTCGTCAATATTATTACATTAATAGAAAAATCCTAATAATGTCTTATATCTCCCTCTGGAACTACCGAAATAATTTATTTTAAAGTCGAACGCATTTTGGAATATGAGAAAAATCGTTTCAACATCTTCCACAGAAATGGGTTGCTGCATTAAGATAATCTCAATCTAAACGATATCGGATATCTATGTGATGTTAAATTTCCGATGTTAGGGTATTTAATCTTCTGCATCTTTTCCCATTTTGTGTTTAGTTAAAGTGTGCAGCAACTTTTCCATCTGTCATTTGACTCTGACAGCAGCCCTCCCAGGCTTTTCATATTTGGATGTCTGTCTCTTTTTGGGGGTTGCTCTTGTGCTTTTACAGGTGAGAGTTGTGAGCGGGGGGAGTTGGTGGAATGTTTGTTTATGGAAGGAATGTGGGGGGGCTGTCTGGTCTTTGGTTCCGGTTGCCCCAGAGGACGGTTGCCATACAAAAGCGCTCGTTATTTGCATTTGTAATTATAACAAACAGGATTAGTCTGTCTTCAAGCGTGTGTGTGTGTGTGTGCGCTTTAGTATTTGTATTTGTATTTGTATTTGAATTAGTCTAGTAGCAAGTTTGTCGAGCCCTTGTACAAATATTTGACGCTGCCTGCAAAGAAATTTGAAATTGTTAAATCGCATTTCACTCACATCAGGGAATCCAAATTCGTCTACAGATTCGGCCGAGGAGAGCCACTTCTTGGGTATGGACAATATCGAGTCCTTCCATCCTACAAAAATCAAAATAAAACGAATGTTAATAAGATGAGAATTCAAAATAAGAACAAGAGGGTCTAGTTGGGAGTTCCCGACTCAACAGGTATATCAATAATTAAGTCTTAATGAGAAAAAAAATAGAATTCAATGAAGACGTGCATGAATGTGTAAGTGTACATTTATAAAGAAATTCTAGCTGCTGCAAATAGTATATTATTATTACCTGAAAAAAGCGTAGCATGTTCTTTCCTTTTGCTAGCAAGATCTTGCGCAGTTTTCTGCTCCGTATGATAAAGAGCTTGCAAAATATGTCAAAATTTTAATAACATGGAATGCCCTCACCCTCACAAAATCACAAAGGCACAAAGGTATTGTTATTAAAATTGAAAACAAAAATATAATTCCTGACTAATGAAAATGACGCATTAATCTAAGATCCGATACGGGATGCTTGATAAAAACCAGGTAGTTCATCAATGTCAGAAGGTTCAAGTGCCATTGGCTGGGTAGCTCCCAAAAAAATGCGTTATCTTATAGGCTGACAGTAGGGCAGTGGAATATGGCTTATCGCACTTCTTGTTTGTCAGGCTGTCGTTTAAGCCAAAAGCCAACTTAATATCAGGTAAGATTGGGCAAATGCGAGAAATGAGGAAATCATTTTGCTCTACAGTATCTATTCAAACTATCCAAACCTTGTCTATCCATCTACCCAAACTTTCAATCAATCTTTCCTATCTATCCATCTATCTGCCCTCTTTATTAAAAATCCCTGCCTTTACCTATCCCATCTATCTATCCTATATAGCTATCTACCCTGTCTATCTAGACTCCATCCATCTATCTATCCCATGTATCCAACTATCTATCCTATATGGATATATAGATATATATCCAAACTCTATCCATCTATCTACCCCAACTATCTAACACACTTTAAAGAACTCTATCCAAATCCAACTAGTTCTGTCTATTGTGCTTAAATTTTCGTAAGCTCATCAAGAATTTATTGGCTTCCGTCATGCAGGAATGCAATAAATTGGGCAAGAAAACTAAAACTACTTGAAAGAGGAGCCTCCCATTTTCTTGCTCCCTTTTTGTGTGTGGGTGTCCTTTAAAGTTTTGACTGGCCCGGCTGTAAGCCAAGTGTGTAAGCACTTCCGGTTGCCCAGAGAGACGGCGATTTCCGTTATTGGCTTTTGGCCAGATAAAAGAGGCTCTGGACTTGTAGAGCATAACACACGCATCCGAGAGGCAGAAAATAATAGAACATCAACTAATTCAAAATGTGGGTATGGGCCTTCGCACTTCCGTCGTGGGATTGTTCCGGGTCTACTTATGACAATCATAATGTTATTAATAAAAATGGTTTTACGACAATCATGATAAAAGCAAAACGGGCTAACGGCCGCCCTCCTTTCCGCAGCGCGGCCACATTTAATGCAATTTATTATCCTTTTTTCATTATCTGGCCAAAGATGGCCCATCTCCTAGCTGTAGGCGTGGCGGGAGGCGGGAGGGGGGGGCTTACAACTAGATACAGTTGTTCGCCCAACAATGAAGTCACGTGGCACCAATTTGAGCATCCGCTCTATTGTTGCTGTTCCCACCCAGTTGTTGCTATACCCCGTGAAAATGGTCGAGGGGGCTATGCTGTTTTTCGAGGAGACGTATGCGACAAGCAGGAAAAATAAATATTAAATATAATTATTCTTGCGATTTTAAGCTCTTTCTTAGGTATATTTTAAAAGATTATAAGAGCTGGATATCCAGTGAAAACTGATGAATGGGTGAAAGGAAACATATAAAATATATTTATTTTTCCTGGGCAATCCTTATTTTACATAAAATCGATATAAATCGATTTTTTAAAAATAATTGTAGGTATGTAGGGTATGAATATCATGTAGGTAACTAAGCTGGATATACTATTTGCAGGCTAAGAATAATTATTGTATGATAAAAACCGAAGCTATTCAAGAGTCGATTTTCCCATAGAGTAAAAATGGAGGAACAAGAAACAAAAGAGCGTGCATATTTTTCTAACAATCGCGGCTGAGCCTAGGGTATCTTTCTAGTCGAGCACTAAGCACTTTGCGCACTCTGAGCTCTCCTCCTTACTCTTGCTGGTGTCATGGTTGTCTTTGCAGAAATAACATTAACCACAACCTGGCCTGGCCTGGTCGACTGTCTGACTGTCGCCTGCCCCTTGTGGATGGGCACGCAGTGCTCAGACTAACGAGACTTTGAATAGGGCAACCTGCTCCGCAGTTAGCTGTAAATGATAATAAATTGCGTTAGGAAGCGTCGGTTGGCTATGGAAAATTCAAATTAAGTAATTAAGCATGAGGTTGTGCCCCACACCAATTGCGGTGCGTGAATCTACTTTAATCTTTCACTTTTAACTAAAATAAAATCGACTAAAATTGGATATCTAAAAGCTTATACAGCCTACTCTTTGTAGTTGCGGCGACAAACAGCTCAATAAAGAGTGAACGACTAGCAGATACCCTGCCCCAAAGAGAAAAAAATGCGAGTTTATGTTGAAACATCAATGCTTAGACTCGGATCAAATTGAAATTTTAAGAACCTAAATATGGCAAGAATATGTCAGTTTTTAGCTTTTTTCTATGCAAGATGCGAGCTTGAATTGATGGGTCGGTGCTGCGAGTCCAATGAAGTCGTAACCTTTAAAGGTAGATACAAATGTGTAACAAATGTGTGTAAATATCAAACACCTTTAGAGATGAGGTAGGAGATGACATTCGGAGTTGGCACAAGCTGGAATTCTGTTCAGCCTGAGTCTGGCACATTGCATTCGCATCGCATTCAATTATGTGCTCTGACATGGACACGTTTCCAATTGATTGATTGATGATGCTGGGATTTTTGATTAGACCGACGGGCGGCTAATCAGATATTCATGCGCCATTACAGCAGACGGGCGCAGTTCCTATTTCCGTTTCCATTTCCGAACCCAAAGATGAAGCTCCTGTTTATTGATGAAGCCGTCAGCTTCAATTTGTCGATTATTTTGTCTGCTCATGATTCGATTTTGCTGTTGCGAAAAGTTTTGTGGCCCTAACTCGATTTGCATTTTAGCCAAATCGATTGATGCATTAGCTAGTTATGAGCAGGAGGGGAAGGGGAACGATTCACACCCTAAAATGATGGAGCTTATTGGCCACACGCCCCGCGTTTAACAGTTGGCAATAAAACGCTTCAATAAACCAGCTCGGGCTCATTATTAACACAGCAAAAATCACGCTTGAATTGCCAAACCCCAAGCTGTCTTCGGACGACAGGCAACTGCTGCCGCCTGTCAGAGGCGGAGATAAAAATGTAATCCCAATGAAAAATAATGTTTCTCCATGTTGGCAGGATTCCAATTCCAACCCCAAAGACCAGAACTCATTACGTGCGATGGGATGAAAGGGGGAGTTGAAGGGGGAGCTGGGTTGAGCTGGAGCTGGTCCGGATCAATGAAAAAAAAACTCGGAATCAGCATGCAGTTAGCACTGAGGATCTTTATCTAGCTTGTGAATCCTTGGAATCCTTGGCATCCTTTTGGCATATCCTGCACTCCAGCTGTAACCGCAGCAAATGAATCGGAACAATTTAAAAAGGCAAAACAAATCCGTGACCGCCGAGAATGTGCCAGTTCCCAACCCCCACCAAGTGACACCAGCAGCAGCAGGATGTGACTACCAGCAGGAGCAGGGTGAATGAATGAATGACTGAGTGAATGAATGAGCAACTGACTGAATGAATGAGCTGCTGCCTCTTTGTTCGCTTTGGCTGCTCGTAAAGGGCTTCATTTATATTTGAGGGTGTTTTGCCCAGCCTCTGCTCCCGGTCATGCTCCTGACCCTGCTCCAGCCTCTGCTTCTGCTCCCACTTCCACTCCCACTCCTGCTCCTTCTGGCACGCACGCAACAATTGAGCCGTAAATCCTTTACGGTCTTAGCGCTGCTGTTTTACGCCGCTTTCAATACATTTTTTTTTGGGCCTTTGGCTGCGCTTTTGTGTGTTTAAACACGCTTGGAGAGGGTATTAATATTTTGTCATGGCATATGAAATGCACAGAGGAAGACAACTTTGAGCCCATAAAGTATGTTTGAAGCTGATCTATATCAATAGGTGAGTGTGTTTATACAAAAACTATTCTCAACAAATTTAAAGCTTTTGTCGGAATAGGATCAATACATTATATAGCTACACAGGAACGAATAGTTAGATATCTTAACTAAACTAAGCATTTACTAAATCTCAAAGTCGATGTAAAATCAAGTTTTTATATAGAATAATGTCTTATTTTACAAAATATCTTCACAAAGCTTATTGTTCTCCTCGAATATCTTTAGAATCCATTTGACAAGGGCATTTAATTGTCGTGCAAAAAGCCTTGCTCTTACTTGTTTGGATTGTTTCGAGCCCCACCCTCCAGAACTTGGGTCATGCTATACTTCTTAGGGCATATGAAAAGACCTTTACACACTTTTGTGTGGCACACTGAAATGAATTGCGGCATTATTTTTATTTTTAATTGTTCGAATTGAAACAAGCGGAAAGCGCAAATTGCTTGCGTATTGTTTGCCAACGAGTTGCGGTCCGGGCCTGGAATTCATATTGACTCGTTATTTGCCCGCAAATTGTACTCACAAAAGCGAATGGACAATAGACACACAGATACTTCAATACACGTCTAACATAGCCTGTGGTTAGGGCGTTGCCACGCCTCCAAACTGCACCGGACAAAAAGCTAAAGTTACATTTTGGGCTCAGCTTTATGCGTGACGTTTGGGGCTACAACAAAAAAAGTTGCTAATGGAAATTGCGAAAAGAAAATCCATTTTCCACACGGCAACATCGTCCAAATTTCTGGCCCCAGGGCACGCACACAATTTCCTCTCGACCTGCCTTCCCTTTCCGTTCCGTCCCATCATCCTCCTGTTGGCTTTGATGAGCCACCACCAAACAACCAACAACCACCCCGAACAAGCAAAACTTTGCTCCTTCCACCTTTTGGCTTCAAGCAGTAAAGCTCCATCAACTTTTATATCTATTCGAAAATTAGTTTTTTCTTGTAGTTAATTTATTTATATATTATAATAAAAATATCTGAGAATAAATGATAACAAACAAAACAACAAACAATAAGTCATACAAAAAAAAAAAACAATTAGCAGTTCTCTAAAGTGATTTCAAGAATTTTTAGTTATTATTATCCGGGGACTTTGGCAGACAAGCTCCTGGTCACACTGTGCAGCAACTTAACTTGTTGAGAATTATAAGTGGCAAGGAAAAACTGTTTTATATCTCTCTCCATATTTTTTAGAGAAGTCAACTCAGATGAGTTGATTATTTTTGTTATAGAAGATTCTTTGAAGGGCTATTTAAACAAATTTTCAATTACTATCATCCGTAGACATTGCTGTCGGCTCTAGGAATGCAAAGGACTGGTCACACTTTTTAACAATTTAGCTTTTTGAGAATTGTAAGCAGAAAGTATTTTATCTATCGCTCTCGCAATCTCTCTTTTTTTTTATATAAGTTAACCTATATGATTCGACCAACCGTAATTAACTTATGAATAAATTTTACACCAAGCATGGTTCTACGATAAATGAAAAAAGGAAGATTAGTTACAGAATTATCTACTGGATCACACTTTGAGACCAGGAAGTGCAATCATCAATTATTATTTCTGTACAGATTAAATTCTGTCTTGAATAGAATATACTCCAAATACATGAGGCGTCGCACCAAAGATATAAAGAGTTAACTTAAGAATGTTCCTCAAATAATTTTCCAACGATCAAGAATAAATGGTGTTGAAAATACTTTCTTTTGCCTGTTAGATATATTTACCCATTTTTAATGGGCACAGAAGAAGAAGAGAACTGCACAAAATAGAATTTAATGATGATATTGATACATTTAAATGCAGAGGCCGCAAGTTCGCACTGTCGAAAAAAAAATGAATCCGAGAAGGTGAAAAGATTTAATTAATATTTTTAAATATATAAATATGTAAAAAAAAAACACGTCTGTTCGCTTTAAAGAGAAAAACGAATGCTCAATTAGATAATTCATATAATGAAACACTTTTTTGCTTTTTTTTTCATGGTTAACAATTATATTTCAATAGTATTTGTTTTGTTTGTTTGTTGTATGTGTATATTTTGCTCTTTAATATGCATTATATCATTATCCATTCGATACTTCACATTATCCATATCATTTGCAATTAGAATAATTTGTTTTGCGTATTCATAGTATTCTTTAGCTGTTCATTCCAAATGATTCATATTCATATTCATATTCAAGTTCATAACACTTTAGCCATGATTTTTGGGGGGGAAATTGGGAATTCGTTTGGTTTTCTTTAAATGTATATCCCGTGTGGGATTAATCGAATTGAAAGTAATTCCTGACATGAAGTTTTACCCGTCAATCATAGCTTATCAAGTTCTATGATATTATATTAATGGATAGGATAGAGTATTGTATAGATCGGAACACCAAGGGTTAGCTTAGATTGAATACCTATAACTTTAGTTAAAGTCCGATTTTAGTTGAAAATTTTGTCATTTTTGGATTTAGGTAGAAACAGAATTTTGTTTAGATTAAAGTTGGATAGACTTTGAAATTGAACAGCAAAGTTTCAGAACTGGGCTAGGTAGAATAGTTTGGTTTTTTTTTTTTTGCTTTTAATTGATTTTCTATTATAATTATATAATATTACAAGTACTAGTTTAACACAAACGTCTATAACATTAGCAGAAACAAATTGTGAAAAATTTCAATTTAATCTAGCACACTTTAGTACTTAAATATATATGTATATGTATATGTATATGTATATGTATGTGTGTATATACGTACTTGAAATATTTTGATCAAAACTTAGTGTTAGATATATTACACAAAACTGAACTGTGGCGGCATTTCTTGAGGGCTTTCGAATACAATTTCCTATAAATATAACTCATATTAAATGTATAACATTTAAAACAAAAACAGAATGTTACGCATTTAATTTTCAAATATTATAAAACATTTTAGGGGTTCACCATAACTCACATTTTATAATGTTTGTTAGTTTTCCAAATGAAAATAATAATATTAATTTGTATGCATTTGTAATTATAATAATATATAATATGCTATTGAACATTTAACACTTTTAATACATATTTATGTTGAAATATTTGAAATTATCTTTTTGTATATATCTCAATTATATTAATTTGTATATTAATATTTATATTTTACATTATTTTTATGGTTTTCTTTATTTTGTATAAATACATATTTATATATATTTTTTAGCAACATTATTTAATCTTTACAATACATACATATATATTTTGTTATAGTTTTTTCTGCTTTTCTTCTTTGCTTGTTTTTAGAAAATTTCGTTAAATATTACACATTGCCGGCACTGTTGCGTGTTCTGTAAGCTTTAAATGAAGATCTTTGAAAACCTTACAACACTGTTTCGGAATGCTAATTTACTGTATATCTGTAGTAACGGAGCACTCGATAGTGTTGTGCAGTTCTCGCGGACTCTCCAGTTAGGTACTAACCGTTAATTTAATTTTAAAATTCATATTATAATCGTTTTATTTATAATTCAATTCTGGAAGATTCTTCTTCTTCATATGGCAACTTGTATAAATCCTGTTCAATTGTTATATTTTTTTGAATAACTAAAATTCGAAGAACATGTTAGGATTGAAATACAAGACCATTTACAGAAGAATTGCGTAACATATTGTTTTACGGATTTATGCCTAGATGTTGTTTACAATTTCAAAGTATTTGTAACTATTTTGTATATTGCTTTTAGAAATGTCCATTAAATATACATATGCGTGTTGAATTTTTTATACTGATATATTTACTATATTTTAGTTCACTTCAAAACAGATCGTAGCAATATCTTTTAGATTTCGCTGTAATGTGCTTTAAATGAAATGATTAAATGATCCTTTGAGTGACTTTTTTCTTGTGAACATGGATCATAGGCATACATATATATAAACTATTTTTTTTGTTATGTCTTTATGTATATAAATTTGTTTTGCTATATACGTATAATATAGTTTTGCATTTAGATTCTGTTCGCACGGTCTGTACGTTGTTTTTTTTTTTTAATTGATACATTTGATGGGAGATTTTTTCATGAGTTTTATTCATTATGTAGTTATACATATTGCTAAAGCGCGTTATTATGTAGAACTCTTAAATGCTATGTTAAATTTGTATATGTATACATATATATGTATATATAAGTATATATATTATCAAAATAATAATAGACGTTTTAGGTAATTGATCAAATGACGCCGTGCAATCAAACAATATTTATTCATATTCAAAATCTTAGCCGAAACTTCAAAACTCTGCTTAACTAATTGCTTTGAAAATCAGTGCATTTGCTAGTTACACAGATATGTGTATATGTATGTGTGTACACTCAAAAAAATTGTTTTCCACAACTGAAAAAAAAGTAGCCATAATATGTTTATGAAAAATGTGGCTTCATTATCATTTTTTCCATGCAAGAAAAGTAATTAAAAAAAAAAAAATACAAGAAATACGAAAATATTTAATTTTTTCTTGGCTGCTTTCTAAAATGTGGAAATACATAATTTTGAGTGTATGTTCGATATGGCAGACTATATAAGCTAGGCGTTTATTTTTTTAAAATTCCTCAGGATAACCCATTGTACACTCAAATGAACTGTTTTCCACAACTTTTAAAATCGCAATAAAATATTTTATGTTTTTGCTTAATAAACAATTTTTCCAAGCAAGAAAATTTTCTATTAAAATGTAGAATGAAATAATTTTCAGTGTATGTTGTATATGATAGAACATATAAATGTTCTAACTGTATAAATATATACTCGTGCTTAGATAACCTTGCTATTTAATTGAAAATGGCCGTGTCACTGATATGTTTACGGATATCGAATGTTCAAGTGTTTTTTTTTTTTGTCTATATAATAAGTACACATTAAAAACCTATTTTAATTTGTATCTGTATGTATATATACCATATATTTATATGTGATAACTACTACATAATAATAATTATCTGCATAGTTAGCAAATGGTTTGGTATGTATACAAAAATTCAGTTTACTTAAGGCTCTATATTTAGACCAGGCTAAAAGTAGTTGGGTGTATAATATATATAGGAGCAATAAACTGCTCTCAAAAAGTGCGATAATCGAAGTGAATTGAAATATATATATGTTTATATATATATATCAATTGTTAGTATAACTACGTTTAGATAATGCATCTGACTTTAGACACAAGGTACACACATTTATGCTATGCTATCGTCGAGCTGCTATGGCAACGGGTATATACCTTCATAGAGAGGGTTAACCATCTGGCGACAAGCAAATAATAATTGATTGGTAGGTAAATATGAAACATCTAATATTTTCAAATTGTTTTCATTATACTTATTACGGCCTAAAATATCGATATGATACGATATATATATATACGATATATAATTATGATTCTACATGTATATAGCAATAGTTAATATCACTTTTGGTAATTTTAACAGGCGAGCCATCGAGACTCTGATATGTATCGTTACCTTGGTTGTGTCTTATGTTAAAAATCAATTAACGTAAAATTTAATTGTAAAATAATATGGCACTACCAATCGGACGCCACTGTATGCTGCGCACAGTTCCGTCGCAATGACAAACGAAAGGGTATACCTTGGGTTGGGTATTCGATTTGTGCAACTTGTGATATGTCTGCGATATGAATGCCATTGCCTGGTTAACCACGACGGATCTGCGGCACAGTGGAGCCGGATCAGCTAAGCCGCTTACGAACTAGCTTGTATATATATAAAGATATATATATGTGTGATATCTGTTAAGGATCAGAGCTGAGAACAGGCAATGCTCCTGCCCCCTGAGTTCGATCTAATTATGACTATGCTTTGGTTTCTCTAGCTTCTGTATTATATAGGGCCCGACATCGGCATCGGGCTTGATATATATATATATATATATATTCTATATAGTGCGTTTTCCCATTTAACTCAATTGGCGATCGTGTATTATACAAAACAGCTGCTCGAACTGTTTGCATGCCATATATGCATTTTATAGTGTACGTACCACTTGCTATTTATATATATATATAGGTAATATCCTAACTGAATACGTCTGAGTATAACAAAGATTTCCAAATGAAAATAAAATGAATCAAAAGACTTTTGACAACAGTTTAAAATCCTTGTCTGAAGGGATTGGCTGGTGCCGGAGCTCTGCTTGGTGGCTGCTGGAAAGGATTCGCGACACGTGGCTGGGCATAGCTGCCGCCCTGCTCCTGGTAGCCCGGCTGATAGCTCTGATCCTGCTGATAGCCATCCGCCGCCTGATACTCATACTGCTGCTGTTGCTGATCGTCTAGGCTAGTCTCTTGCTGCTCCGGCTGGTATTGCTGGCCGTACTCGAGATGATTCTTGAGCTCGCCGTCGACGGGCTTCTGGTCGTGCATGACATAGGTCTGGTACTCCTTGTTCGGCGGATCCTGCATCAAGATGTTTGCCTCGTTCTCGAACGGCTTAAAGTCGTAAATATTGCGCAGCTTACGGAGCACAGGCACATAGGCCAGATTCGAGAAAGCGATCAAAAAGTTGAGCGCTGTAAACCCAATTGCCTCCACAATGCCGCCGGCAATGATCGGGCCCACGGCATACGCGATCGAGTACGAGATGTCCGCAATGGCATAGATACTACCGTAGACGGACACGTAGCGGACATCCACCAGGTAGCCCAGCGTGGGCAGCAGGGCGGTGTCTATCAACGCAATGCCAAAACAGATCACGCAGATTGGCAGCATCAACATCTTGTAGCCACTGCAGAAGGGTATCACGAAGCAGGACAGACCCTCCAGGGCCAGGCCGCCGGCTGCCATTAGCCACTGATGTTGCGGATATTTTCGGGCCATTTTCACCGTAATTATTACGCCCAACACGTGCGGAAAGAAGGCGGGCAGCCAGACCATGCCGATTTTCCAGTTTTCCGTTGTCATCGTATCCTCCATCCACAGCGAGATGGTCGGCTCCAGGAAGGCGAGCGCCACATTGGACATGGTCAGGGCGCCGGCGCAAACGGCAATATACGGATCCATGAGCAGGCGCCAGATGGGTATGACCTGATTCTGGACCTCCTTGCTCATTTTGATCTGTTCCTTGAACGGCTTCATGACCAGCAACAGCATCAGGCCATCCAGCAGGCAGACGAGGGCGAGTATAAGAAACGGCACCTCCTTGCCAGCAAATTGATAGAGCGCTCCACCAAAAGGTGGCGCCACCAGGCAGCCGAAACTGATAAAGGCCAGCGCAATGCCCAGTGCCTGGGAGCGCTCGTTCTCCTCCGTAAAACGATCCGCAATCATGGCCAGACCTGAAGTGTCCGCAAAGGCGGAGCCGGCGCCTTGTAGGGAGCGCGCAAAGAAGAGAACACTATAGCTGGTGCCGCAGGCGAAGACGGCCGTGGAGAAGAACATGATAGTCAGTCCAATCATCATGGGTATATCGTAGCCAATTTTGTCGATCAGACCGCCCGAGAACGGATTCACCATTAGCTGGACAATCGCCTTAGAGGCAAACAGTATGCCAGTCGCCGAGTCCTGGCCATGATGATCATGATGCACCGGTATTATCCGGCCGGTAACATTGTCGCGCAGCGGTGGCGGCGTCGGCCCATCATCGAAACTGCCAATCTCGCGCAGATAGTCGGGTATAATCGGCACAATCACCATATATAACATGTTATCCAGCAGCAGGGCAATCGATACGATGACCAGAATGAGCCGACGCTGATTCACCGGCTCCCTGATCTTCTCCCAGACAATCTCCTTCACCTCGCCCACCTCCAGGTTGATGAGCGGTATTTGAAATGAGGCCATTTTGCTTTGCTCTGCTTTATTCCTGATTTATTTTTTCTTTATTTTTCTTGTTGTTTTTCTCTTCTCTTATTTTTACTCGCTCTTCCTTTTCGTACTTCTTCTCTCTTTTTCTTTCGCTCTGTTTTTCTTTTGTACTTCGGTTTTATTGTTGCTTTTTGGCGCTCTGCAATTTCATGTCCGCCGCCGGAAATCGAGCAACCGGAAATTAAGCAGCAATATGGCCGCTTCCGTTTCCGTTAATTGCCAGCTCTGTGAGCTGCTTGCTCTGTGCTGCTTGTTCTGTACTGCCTGCTTTGAGCTGCTTTGATGCTTAACTCTCTTCTTTGTTCTAGTTGCACTTTCTGCTGACCTTTACATGATTTCGTGTTGTTGTTGTTGTTGGATTGCCAGAGAACAACCTTTAACGACACAGAAACAAGATTTCGTTAGTTTTTTCTTATTTATTTTCTTATTCTCTCGCACAGTAGTTATTTTATTTGTTAACATAGTTTTTCTTTTTTTTTTTTTATTTAAATATTTATTTGTAATTTGCTTTTATGATTGAAATGTTGTTTCTGTGTTGCAAAAAGGTTGCCTGCTGGTGAACAAAAAAATGTGTATTGTTAAAATTAGTTAACACAGCTTTAGCACAATTTCGACACACACATTTACATAGGACAAGTAGATCGAGATTTTTCTTCTTTGTTTTTTTGCACAGCAATTGACACATTTCAATCATAAAACAAATACCAAAAATATATTTTTTAATTTAGGTATTTAATATTCATTTCAATGCAAATACAAAAGCAATTATTTTAATTGGATTGTGCACAAAATGTGCTCAAACCAAGTGCCCTGCAGCATTAAATATACTCAATGGGCTTTGCTAGACTTTAATAATCACACGGCTCGGTTTTGGGGGTTAGTTCGAGGAGAGCCCTCGAAAGTCGCGTGGCCGCACTCGAGACCTGTAATTACACGTAATCATTGCTTTGTCCCACAGAAAAACCCACGAGCACAGCGAAGCACCTCTTAAATAACACGCGAACCACAAGAACTGAATAATAAAGAACATAAAGCACAGCCCAAACCAAGCTAAACTTTTGCCAAAGAATTATGGTTATAATAAAAGTATATGCCCTTTGTTGCATTGGCATATTATATTGGGTAAACTTAAAATATATTCCACCATATTTTTTATACCTCTACGCCTTGAAAGAAGATATTGGATAAAGTTTGATTCTTTGGCATGCATCCCAAGTTCATATGTCTTAGGCATACCCTGTAAATTTTATAAAGGTCCAAAGGTAGAAACCGAAATTAATTGGTAATTTATTTTCTGCCGTCTAGGTCGGCAGATTATGTTATATACTAATGTAGATTGACTCTAGCCACAATTTCCATTATCTCACTTTGAAACATTTTAGAATTAGTTACTTTTTGATGGATTTTATCTGGGTCTGTCTGTCTGGCACAACTGTCTGCTCTCCCAGGCCCGGGCTATCAATGCTGATCTAATTTCAACATTTATCTACGTAGCAGCTCGGCGGGCTGCCACCCCAAATAGACAAACATAAAAACGTTACGTGTGCAGGGTATAAAAGTACCCCCCGAAATATGTTGTCTGGCGGGGCCTTTGGTATATGCGAGACGCTGGAATAACATTTCGTTTTATCATTAAATTTTCATGACCACGTTCGTGTGTTGTTGAGTTGGTTGTGTTGGTTTTTCCCCAGCCGCCTGTTTTAAGGGGGCCGGGGAGCGGGCGAGGGGCTTCTCTGATCGGGGGCGGGAGTGCCAGCCGCTAAGCTAGCACATGAGTCAATTATCGTATATGTGTGTGTGTGTGTGTGTATGTGAAGCGTGTTTCCCTGTTAATATACTCTTGCAATGGGCATTCTAGTTTTGTATTGAAATATGTAACGCATAGAAGAAGACAACTAGGCACCCATAAAATATATATATTCCTGATCGGTATCAACAGCCGAATCGATATATTTATTAGTTTTATTAGCTGCTCACATATTTACAAAATCCTAGCAATATGGGACTTCTGTATCATAAAGCTGCCACAGGAAAGATCGGTCGAAAATAAAGGTTGGGTCTGCAAGGGTATTATATCTTCGGCGTGCCGAAGATAGGCCTTATTTCTCGTTTTGCATTGAAAGACTTTTATTTTGGTTTTTTTGTGCCCATAACTACAACAACAAGAAACAGGAGGAGAGACCGGCCCAGGTGGGCTGTTGTACTTGACCCTGGGGTTGGCTGCACGCGGAGCTTTCATCAGAACCAGGGGTTGGCTCTGGCGCTGGTCGAGTCAAGTGCAGAAACGTGTGTGTGGCAATAAGGAGCGAGAGCTGGCAGCAAGCCCGGGGGCCGGAGGATTATTAAAGGCCATGTTGAACATCAAACAGCGCCAATTTATATTTACGCCTTTATAATTTTATTGATTTTTACGCGCTGACTGGCAAAACTCGGCCCAGCTGACGCATTTCCCAGTGATATAACATTTTGTGCTTTATTTTGTTATTCTATTTTTGCGGCTCTTTGTTGGGGCTCATTATCATTGGTTTCCTTTTCATATTTGAGCAACAGCCTCCCGAGCATCCCGAGCTGCCCCAATTAGCCAGTCAGCTAGGGTATTCATCTTTAATGCATAAGCTCTGCATCTGCTTCGATTATAAAACATTCACAGGATCTTTTGCTGCTGCTTCAATTTGTAGCATTTGGAGAAATAAAAGCTAAGCAGCTCACATCGCCTTGTTTGTGGAAATTCAATCTATTCGCCGACAACTCGATAAAGCCCAAAGTGCACTTTTCCCAGTCTCCATCGTCAAATGTTATTTGAGCTGCCTGCCGCAAAAGGCAGCTGCGAAAAATATATATTTATTTTGCGGATAGTTTTCCCAACTAATTTAATGTTTAAGGCTTAAGTGCAAGCAGCTTTAAATGTTCAGCTGGTTCACCTTGAAATATATAGTCTGCATAATCGCCGACTTTTCCTTTTTCTCTGGGAACTTCACAGCAGTTCGCTATTAAAAAAAAATAAACAGACAGCTTGAGCTCGGGCTGTGCAGTCCCCACACTTTACAAGCTGCGGGGCATCAAAATGAAATTACATTTATATCTCGCTGCTAGCATTTTCTGCACGTGTCTGGAGGGGCGTGCCTGTCCGACAAGGTAATCAGCGTAAAATACAATTTCATCTTTGCAAAAGGTGTACATAAAATATTGCAAATATCACAAAGCAGACGGCTCAGGCTTAACATTTCTATTTCTCAATCTTACTGTACAAATTAAATATGCAATATTAACGTTTACCAACACTACCGGGTTGGGTTGCGTGTTGGAAAGTAACCTTTTACAATATATTTAAAAGAGGTTACTCATTTCATATCTCTTTTAGAACTCGGAATATTGTGCTCCGTCCCACACGGAATATTACGTTTATATATATCGTATACAATAAATACGTTTTTCACCACTAAAATATCGTTTTTAGTGTTGGAAAGCTGTTGGAATACAATACATTATGTAAAGTGTTGGAAAGCAGTATTCAAAAATAGTTGGGAAACAACAATTATGGTAAATGTTGGGAAGCAAGCGTATTTTGAAATGGAATAAACATGCTCTAAAAATATGATATATTTTAATAATGTTTGTCAATACGAATATGTATAAATAGGCGCACAATAAATTCATTTATCAACCCTGGAGGTAGTCTACAAAGCGGAATAGGAAAAACCAATCATAATATTTATGATAAGCCCACTTTCCTAAGTCGGCCGACAAAAAAGGCAGTGCTAATCCTTACAAGTGTGCTATTGTACAGGCACACACACAAACACACACACACATACACGCACAGGGGGCAAGCTCTCAGCCCCTTTCGACAAGCACTCTGCAAGTGTTGTAAGCTGCTTTGCTCAAGTGCCGGGTCGGGGCAAGGGTTGTCGCTGTGGCAATTGGCAGAGTTCGCTGAAGCGCGCGCATATTTATGGCGCCCAGTGTCTAGAGAAATATGTGTTGCCTAATTTCGGGCGCATTCATTGATTAATCGCATGTGAAGCAGATGTGTGTGCGTGTAATTTGTGGCCTGTGTTCGATTAATTAACTACCTAGCTAGCCGCGCTTAGCCGTGGCCAACTGTGGCCCCGCCCACAACTTCGATCGATTAACAAACGCCCTTTGGCTTTAGCCTTAACCCCCTTTTGTCACTCAAGCGCTTCTTTTGTCATCCTCCCCGCCCCCGTCGCCTTTCTTTTCGTTTGTGTTTTGTGTTTCAAGTTTAATTGTCTTGTCTTCGGCTTTGGCCCTATCGATTTCACATTGCATTTCACCTGCAATTGGGTTAGCCAAATTGCCTTTGCTAGCCAGTCTAAAAAAAGCCAACGCCAAATATTTTAATTGCAAAACTTTTAAGGAGCCCGAAGCTGTCAAAATTCATGCACGAAACGTGCCTAGATAAATGGCTATTCCCAGCTGTTGTCCCTGTTGTTGTTATCCCTGTTGTTTCCAAGCCTTAAATGGCTTTTATCAATTCCCAAGAGATGTGCAGCCATTTAGCTCGAAGGCAAACCAGATCTGGCTCCGACTTAGGGTCGAGAAGCTGGGCTAAGCAACTTTTTCTCGCCTCCATTATCGTAAATATAAAGCATGTACATTACACCGAAGTTGGTTGGGGAAAATGCAGAAATTTTAATATACCCTCCACTAAGGTTATTTCGACTTTATCATGAAATTTACTTATTCATCATATCAATCAAAAACTATATATTATTCCTGGAGAGCTTCTTCTTCAGAACTATATATTTATATTTTTATATTTTTGGAGAGTTTCTAAAGATATGCTATATATGTTCTTCAAGAATATCTTAAGTTGAGCTATCTCTCAGTTCTAATACTTTTTGATATAACTTGGGAGAGATTCAACTATTTTATGCACGCGGAAATGGAACGTTTGATATATATATATATATATATATATATATATATATATAATCTCTGTATCTATCTGTCCATCTATCCATAGAAACTATCAAACAATTACAACTTTATATCTTAATCAACTAAAGTTATCTTCAATCAGAAATAAATTTGACCTTTACAAGCTTGGTCAAGGACTAGGAACAATTGCTGAGCATAAATTATTTACCCGTTTTTCTTCAGGGTATGCAATCTTCGATCATCCAGAGATAATTGCTTTTGCTCCATTTTCTCTAATGGCACCACGAGGCGTATGCGTGGCCTCTTTAGCTACACGCACGATAAATCAAAACATTAACTGGGCGTGGCCAGAATCGTATACAACCTCTGTTCGTCCCCCATTTTTTCTAGGATATGCCTCGGTCAAGCTTTGCTTACAAATTGATTTGCTCGTAAATAACTTGGCCAGCGTCTATTGCCAAATAAATTACCTTTTCGTTCGGCATTTGCTGAACTACATTCATATTGTGCTAAACATTCTTCTTTTTTTTAGATAGTCTAGTTAATTTAGTTCGAGTCTGATTAATGGTATTTCTTCAGTCTTATCACACGGCAAGCTTTAAGCATCCGAAATGTGAACATTTGTCGCGCTGCAAATGCCTTCCAATCAACAAACACCATCAGCGCCCGGTTAACAACTTTTACGACTTTTGATGCGGCTGCTGCCCACAAGCAGGACCTTTCCTCCAAGTACTTTCTGTACCCACTAAAAATACCAAGAAGGGTAGACTGTTTTTGTGCGAAGTTGTGTAAGGAAGAACTTCGGACTGAGTCGATGATGACGTTTTCTACAAGAACTTTCTAAACCCACTAAAAAGTCCACGACGGATAGATTGCTTTTGTGCGAATATTTGTGACAAGTGGGAGGAGGCATCTTCAAGCCTGCAAGTCTTTCATGTTCTGAAAACTTCCGTCTAAATCGATGTTCGTCTGGGCTTGGCACAGGGTAATTGCTAGCCGGGCACTCTGTTTGTTTGCCGACCCGGTTCAACCCTCGAACTGCTGCTGGTTGCGGTCTCTGCTCTGGTCTGGTCGGGCGGGTCGTTCGTTTTATCAGGCAGCATCTAGACAAATGCGTTACTTGTTTCTCGTTTGGCTTATTTAGAGCTACCTTCCTTTGTCAGCGTGCTTTGTCTCAGCGTCCTGCTGGGGTCCCTGCCAACCCCTGCGAATATTGTCCTTCCTCCCCCTTTTTGTTTTGACAAGCAACCGCGATGAACACATCAGCGTTACAAACGCGTCTACAACGGGAAAACAAGGCAAACAATCTAATGACGAGGCATTTCTCGCCCTGTCCTTACACGCTCACATAGATACGTATATATTTATTGATGTATTGGTGTGTTTGTGTTTGTGTGGCAAATTTATATTTATTGGCTTCATTATGCAGCAGCTACAGCAGCAGCAGCAACCGCCCAAATTCTTTGCTCAGGTGTCTGTCTTCTTCATAAAGTTGAGACAGATACTTTTGCTAAAAGATATTTTTGTCACCCCACGCATGAAAATTTCAGCTTTTAATGATTTAACGAGAAACCACACACATACACGCACAAATTTAATTAGCTTTTGCAATCTAATAATTAAGTTTTCTTTTGGAACGTGCAATTGGCTTCAGAAGTTTACCTTTTAATATATATATAATATAGTATAATATATATATAGTACTTTAAAATATATATTAAATTTATATTAAATACCCATTTTTTCGAGATTTAAATAATTAAGATCAATTATTTGTGATTAAATTATTATCGTATGTTTGGAGAAAATGCTGAATAGTTGCTAAATAAAAGATAAAAAAGATAAAATCTTTTGGAAACCACTTGAAAAACAAAACTGTAAGTATTCTGCCAACTAAATGCTGAAAATATTAATCTTGCTAATCCAATGTTTATTTTGCTTAAAAATTAATCACTAATTTAAATATTTCGGTAGCAAATTCAAATATTTGCAACATAATTCAATTAACTCCAAATTTTTACAAAATTTCAATTTTAGAAACAATTAATAAGTTCTTTCAGAAAAGTTTTTTTGAATATTTTTAAAGAACGGATTTTAAAGTTATATTAATAAAAATTTAATTTATTAAAATTCTCAATTTGTTATTTTTTTTTAATTTAATTTATATCCAATTGGCGGAAAATTGTATATATTAGTTGTGCTACATTCGTCAGCAAGAAATGGAGCTCTTGAAAATCAATTGTGAAAATTGAAATAATAAAAATAATATCAATTGAAAAATGAAACTTGTTTTTTAATTTGTTTTCCTACATAATTTTTGCAGATATTTACCCGAGCTTCCGACGCAGAAAATATAACTCTTAAAATAATAAAAATAATATTAATCGAAAGTTTGTTTTTTTTTGTAATTTGATTTCCCAAATAATATTCTCAGATATAGATTACATAAGAGCAAGAAGCGCTCACGCTTCTCGCCGCTGTCACGTTAGAAATCCAACTGTAAATGTTCGATTCCCATTTCGTTCCACCGACAAAAGGAAACGAAACGAGCTGTACATGTGGGCTATGAAGCAATGTGTGTCTATCCACACCTTGGGAAATGTAGCAAGTGTGTAGGTGAGAGTGTATGAGTTCATGTGTGCTCATGAGAGTGTGTGTGTGTGTGTGTTAGAGGACGAAACACTTGCAGTGTTTGCATGTGAGAAGTTGTTTAATTTTAATTAAATGCGAATATCCCAGGCGATGGTCAGGTTATGTAAGAGCTGGACTTATAGTAGAATATTCTGTGTGATTTATGCAGAACAGTTATGTGTCTCACCTGTATCGCTCGGTGTGATATTGCTGAGGCGGTGGGTGAGAAAGCCGCGCAAATTGGAGACAACGCGCTGCGGCGAATTTGGCCCGCTGCCAATCGAGAAGCTACGCAATTTGGAGAACAGGGCGGCCGACTCCGCGCCACTGCCCGCGGCGCTGCTGTTGGCCTCGTTGGACGCCACGTTTCAGGCGGAGATGTTCGTCTTGACCAGGATGCGAAAGGCAAAGTTCGCCTAGATTTTCGCCTGCCGCGTTATGTAAAACCAACCAACAGAGGAAAAGCCACACACCGAACACAGAAGAAGCCCGTACACCAACACGCCCGGAGCCCGTTTTGCCCGCTTGAGAATTCGTTTTATATTTTAGTTAATTTTTTTTTGTTAATTTTTCGTTTAATTTTTTGCACAAAATACAGCAAGTTTTTCCTCGAATTTTCAGTTTTCTTTTGCTTTTTTGGGCGGCCGACGACAACGACAGCAATTGGCAGCGTGCGTTGTGTCGTCCGGGCAGGAGCAAAGGTAACTTCTGTCTGGCGCTGTTCGCGCCGCGCTGCTGCCGTTACCGTTACTTTTTTGTCGGTATTCAGCCTGGAATTCCAGCTCGTAGCTAAACGTCTGCCGTGCGTTTTCCACGGCGCAGGACATGACGCATGCGCCTCCATTCGGCAGCCCAACCAATTGGCTGGCTGCCTGGCTGCCCCCCTTTCCCCCTCTGCCGCTCCACCCGTCCGGGCGCCCCTCTGCCTGCGTGCGCTTTTCCCATGCACATTATGTTCGCCCAGTTGAGCACATTTGAATAAAATTCTATTCGCGCTGCGTCGTCGTCTTTGCCTTTGCCTCTGGCTCGCGTTTTGTTTTTGCCCACGCAAAAGAAAATCAATTTTCACCTGTCTAGGCATTTTTCTTTATATATGCTGTTTTTTCATTGTTTTCTTCCTCTTCTGTTTTCATGTGTCATAGCGTACTTTTTGGCTCTTGTATAAATAATTTTTGTTATTGTAGATAATTTCTTTTATATTTTATAATTTTTATGACAATACAGATTTCTCAAGAAAACCCATTTTCCCTTGTCTACATATTTTCTTTATATATTTTGTTGTGCTTATTTTTGTTACCGCTTCTTCTTCTCATTTTCACGTGTCGTAGCATACTTTTTGGCGCTTATATAAGAAAACGTTTGTCGAATTTTTCGTTGCTTGCTTCAGCAAATTGCATCAAGGTTTCTTTTAATTTCCACAAGTAAATAAACTAAAATTCCCTTGCCCTGAATTGTGGTGAGTCCTGATTAATATCTGCGGTCGGAGGACAACTGCACTGCAGCTGCAGTCGATGCCAATCGCTGACGAACCCTCCCGCTTGCCTACTAGTGGGCTTTTCTTTTGCCGAATACCGCACAAATTTGGCAATTTCTATGTCATTTATCATTTGCGGGCACTTTTTTGCAATTTATCAAGATTTAACTTGTGCTCCCGACCTCAAATGCCATAGCTTTTGTGCTCTGATTTGCCACAAAGAGCTGTGATATAGGTTGCCCTTGAAAAACTAAAAAGAATTCATTTTAGCAAAATGAACCAGAATGTGCTCTACTCTTAGATCTAAAAGAGATCGAAGGACACACTTAGGCATTAAAGCCATAAATATAGTTGCACTAAGAGAAAATCTCTTTGCGAATTGCCCTAAAAACGAATTTCCTCTTTCAGACACTTTTACCATAACATCTACATATAATTACTCAATTTTCTGCTTGAATTGAAAAGTTGTACGCTTTTTTGATGCATGCAAATTCTTATTATACTTACTTTATTTACTTCTTAAAAAATAAAATAAATAAAATAAAATCGTATGCCAAAAATTAAAGAAGACTCGAACCGAACTATATTTTTGTTCATTTAAAAAATCGTTGTAGTCAAAATCTTATGTAACTTGGGCCCCAATCATGGCATATATCTAAGCATATATGAAATGCCAATTTTGGGAGGGGATTAGCTGGCCGATCGGAGATGATATTGGAAAATAAATAAAAAAAATAAATATGTATATTAATCATTAAATAAATAATGCATTAAGAAACAAACACAAAAATTAATATAGCCCGCAACTTTTCTATTGTAATATATATGAATTACAATATTTTCAAGAAAACGGGCAGTCAAAAAGAAAGACGAGACGTTCGAGTTAAATACTTGTAACTATACCTAGATCCCCCATTTATTCTCCTGTGCAGAAATCAGAAGGCAAAATAAAACATATTAACTAAGTGAAAAAAAGTTTTTCCTTGAGCCGTAAGCTTGGCCTTTTTTTGATTGCGCACACTTGGTATTACACATTTTTCACTTGATTCAATAACGAATTACTTATTAAAGAATCACTTAGGCTTAGAACAAAATGTAATGGACATTTGTAGAAGAAAACGGAATGAATTGTGCCCCATTATACGATTATTATATTTTATTCATAAACTGGTCACAACTCCAATAAAAGTCCAGCCAAGGGTAAGGCGGGCCATTTGGCCCTGGTGCATATCGAATGCGCGACTTGTATTTCATATTAGTTATGCAAATAACAATTACTTGGAAATCCGCCCAGCACAAGTTGAGCCAGCAATGAGTTAAGTTCGCGAGAGACTTTCCCCAGAATTGTGCTTAAAAGTGGAGCTCCATTAAAATACATAAGTCCACAATCAGAGCGCAACTTCAAATTTTGGCCACGTAAAAGCAATTACGTGTGCGGAATCCAGCCAAAACTATTTCCCTGTGAAAATGTGGAAAATATAGGAAAAACTTGCAATGTGCAGTTCGTTCCACAGACGATCGATAAGGCCCGCAGGACGGAGAAGGAGAAGTAGGCGGAGGAGCAACTGCCACGCCTGCCCCCCGCTGGGCGCAAGGTAAATCAAGGTGTGCCTCAGCAGGTGTGCGTGTGTTGTTTAAATATAAAGCACAAAGCTCAACTTTATACATAACCGTACATAAAGGCAAACTTATATGGCACAGACGTCGTCGCACTCGGCTCGGAAAGTGGTTGGAAACAAGGTTATTTTGCCCGCGGCCAAGACGCGTGGGCGTGGGACGCAGCATTGCCAAAAGCAGCCACAGAAAAAAAAAACAACACACAAAATGTGCACAAGACACGCAACCAAACAACAACAACAACAACAACTGCCCACAAAAGACCAAAAGCGAGCTATATATAACTCGAACTCGAAGCTGTAAAATACAGGAGGCAGGCACAGGTTTCACACTCAAAGGAAATACGTTCTAGATTATATTAGAAATAAAATGCGAAGAGAACTCCGCATTGCGCTCTGTACTTAAAATGTTATCTTTATTAAAGCCTTTACGAAGTGCAAGGAAAACAATATTATTCCCAAATGAAGAAATCGTCATAAGGTAAAAAATGACTTCTAATTTTGGCTCTTTTTTTACATATTGTTAAAAAATTATCATTTTTAAAAAATAATTTAAACTAAATTATTTTTTCTTAGTAAAGAAATTGTCATAGGATGAAAAATGTCTTCTACTTCTGTCTCTTGTGCTCGATATTTGTATTTTACATAATGTTAAAAGCTGAACATCATGTTAAAGGCTTAACAGCATTTTAAGACCATACAAATTTCTAAATGAGCTTAACATCAAATTAAAAACTTTACATATCTAGAAAAGTCGCGTACAGAATTGAATTTACTTTTTTTTTAGTATAAATAGAAATACCTCTGTCTCTTCTAGCCTTGCCGATCGATTTGCACAGCACTTAAATTTAATTCAATTTTAATTCGCCGCTAATTATTTGGCTCTCAAGATTCTGTACTTCAATTAACCAAATGAGATGACATTTGATGAGCGACGCGCAGATACATTCGTGCTTATATTTTAAATATTTTAATGTGAGAAATGTGACAGTTTTTATAAAATCAAGCCAAGGATGAGTTTAGCAATAAAACTGTCAGGGCATAAGCGCGAAGCTTAAGTCTGTCTGCCTCGACAATTCTTGGATATCAAATATGAACAAAAGAACATTTGGGCGAATACGTATACAAATACGATATAAGTCTAATTTTCATTCCACAATGTTTATTTTCAATTATGAATTTATTTCATGGCAGTTGGCAGCCACAGCGGACAGACAAAGCCGAGTCGAAGCTAATATACACTTTACTCATATAATTTAACTGAAAAAAATAGAGACTGACCTGGTGATGCTCTCCGGCCCTCGCCTTCTTCCTGACTGTGCTGTTTCTTTCCTTTGCCACAGATTAATTTTCGCTCGGAGCTTATGGTCCGATCTTATTGAGAATATTTATTTGAGAAAAAAAAAACATGTCAAAGCGGGCATCTCCAAGTCATATAAGCTCCTAGTTGAAACCTTTCTGGATAAATTATAGATTATAGAAAGATTACAATTTCTAAAACAATTTAGCAGACATCTACAATCTCTATAGATATTTATAATTACTATTTTTAAAGAATATTAAATATTATAATTTTAAGTCTCTAGCCAAAGATTATTAATTTCAAGTCTCTAGCTCAGTTAACTAGATTCTATTAGCTCTTGGTCGTGATCTAATTTAAAGATCGCTTCACAGACGCTTTATTTATTGTATGTTCCGTATTAACTGCATATCCCATGAGCTAGCCAATACTCCCTTCACTAAATTATTTTCGGGCAAGTACGCCTTTTCGTAATTAGATGGACGGGTTCGGGGCATCTGTTCGAACGTTGGCGAACCGTAAAACAGACTACCCGACCAACCCCCACAAAGTGCCCAAACCCCACGCCCCCTGCCAGAAGCAGAGCACAACCACCACCAGTAAAAACAACAACAACAACAAGGAACAACAACAACAACAACAAAAGCAACACTTGTAAAATATCACGTTGTGGAACTGCCTTGGGCCTTGGGTCTTGGAACTGGGCTGAGTTGATGTGGCCAAGGTAAAAAACGCCTTCGCCTGCTCGTTATGCCTACAATCTATCGATTTTTATACCCATATGTGTGTGTGTGTGTGTGCACGTGTGTGTATACACACCGATTGCCTGGGTTTAAAAATATAACTAACCCACACCTTGATCGACTGGCTTAATTGGATTGCTCCAACCTGAACCTGAAACTGAAGCTGAAATCGTGTCTCGTACCTCAAAGTTGCTTTAAATTATTATTTCCATAAAATATTTGTGTACTGCTTGATGGCTTCATCTTCTTGTTGTTGTTGATCCTGTCGTCCTCTGATATTGACAGCTGGATAGACAGCGGGTGGTCGTTGCCAGGAATCTCTTTCTGCTTCCTGCTCCGGAGCTGGGCTGAGAACCCGGAGCGCCCCCCAGAGTGCAACATTTGATAGCACCAGCAGCAAACTGCGCTCTGCAGTTGATTCCAAATGGGTTGACTTGATTTTGATGCCAAAAAATGACAGGTACCTTAAAATGGGGCACTCAAAATATGTTTTGTCAAATTTCGTACACTTTGCTGAATTTCACGCTGCTTAAGGCCTAAAATCAGTTTTATTTATATTTATATATATTATATATATATATATGTATATATATAATATAATATATAAACTAATTTTTCTTATGCCGTGTACCAATTGAAAATGGGTTTAAAGGTCTACTGTAGGAGCTAAACATTTGATATTTATATATAAAATATTGAAATGGAGCGGACACAAAATACTTATATTTAAAAAATAATAATTTTAATTATTCACAGTTTGATTCAAACCTCGGACATCGAGCCAATGAAGTAAATTTTTATAAATGGAAAGGTCACCTAAACTAGAACTAAATGTATATATATATATTGATGTATATTCATGTATTTAAACATCGATTTATTTTAGCATTATTCGAAAATATTAAGGCATTAACGTATGCCTTGTACCTTGTAAGGGACCCCCATAAATTTCTTTGGGATTTGCAGCCACAATATATAACTTTATTCAAGTTATTTTAATGTCTAACTTTGGGCAAATCTCCCATGATATCAATGTGGATGATGCCCGTGTCGTTTGCACCTGCAGCAGATAGAATAAGATTACGCAAGAGTAACACGAGCTGTGGCTCGTTGGCATTCGTTACCTAGACTGGGGACAGAGGTGAAGGGTTAGATGGTAATTTGCGCTGGATTGGAATCGAGTTCCATCAGCGTTGTTCACATTTAGCCATAAAACCATTCAGTATATTAAGTTACAATTAATTGATTAAGGCTGCAGAACCCAGAGGATAATAAGCATTATTATTAATGGCCACATTAACTTACATTTATACTAACATTTTTGTGTATCAAACAGAATAGTCTAAGCTGTATGGATGCACGAGAAACGCCAAGCAGAATATCTAATGCAATTTTACAACACTTTAAAGTCAATGAGCAGCTCTTAATGAATAAAAGTGGTCGCCTGGATACAGAACATATATAGGACTTTAGGAAATATACAAGCTGCAGTGCTATGAAAGTAGGGAAAAAGCAAAAGAGAATATCTAATGCAATTTTACAACACTTAAAAGTCAATGAGCAGCTCCTAGTGCTTAAAATGTGGTCTGTATCCAGGCGACCACATTTTAAGCACTAGGAGCTGCTCATTATATATATGGAATATAGAAAATGTACAAGCTGAAGTGTTATGAATGTAGGAAAAAGGCAAAAGAGAATATCTAATGCAATTTTACAACACTTAAATGTCAATGGGCAGCTCGTAATGCATCAAATGCGGACGATGCTGGGCATACAGTATTATAATAGAATCAGCGCAAACAGAATAATATCAATAAAATTAAAATAAATAAATTAAGCTAACGTCCGGCACAGCCAACCAAGTGACGAGCATGTGAGAGAGCAAGAGGAAGAAAAAGAAAACAGAACAAGCCAGCCAAGTGCGAGAGAGTGAGGGAGATGCAGAGAGATTAAAATCAAATAAGACAAAACGGACGAGCAATGCCAGGCCGAAAACGGAACAACAAATATCAATTGAGAAACTTCTGTATACATGTGTGTGTGTGTGTGAGTGTGTGGGTCACACGAGTGGTGGAATTTTTAAGGCGCCCACCGGGAACATCGCCACCAAAATGGCCGCCGAAAGTGTTGAAGTGTGTAAGCGAGCAGAGAGAGAGGGAGAAAGAGGAGGGAGAAAGAGGAGGAGGAGAAGAAGGCGAGCAGGCGAAAATCGGCCACAAATCGCAGCAGGAGCGAGCAGGCGAGAGGTAAAGGGTAGCATAACAAAAAAGGAACACTGCGATCAATAAGTTTTCGTACAAGTATTTTTGTCATGGCGACGACGACGTCGATGACGCAGACAAAGCTGGCAAATTAATTGCGATTTGCCGTTGCCAACTACACACATGTACGTGTGGGTGTGCGTGAGAGTGTGTGTGTGTGTGTGTATTTATAGGTGCCTGTGTGCCAACAAATATGACAAGGCGACAAACACTTTGTTAAATGAAACTTGTGAACACGCAAAATGCGTGTCCCCCCGTGCTTATCTCTTTGCAATGCAGTTATGTAGATGTGTTTGTATTTTTTTTTGTATATAGCTATGTGTGTGTGTGTGTGTATGTCGAATCGAAAACTGCAACTTTTGACATTTCGATGACCTTACTTAAGTTAACAACAAAAACAACAACAACTATCTGAAAATGTGTAACCTAAATTCTCAATGCAGCATGTTCCATTTTCACTTTGGTCCGTTTTGAAATTCATGTCCATTTTGGGGCTCTCTCTGCCCGATGTGCCCTGTGCCCCGTGCCCCTCTCTGGCGCTGACCAAGCAACTTTCTCGTTTCAGCTGCTGCTGCTGGCGCCTCCGACTACGCAGCCTGTCATTTCATTCAAACATGGCCGCGTGGGTGTGGCCTTGTCACCAATACTAGAGCAAATACATACACACACACACATACACACACACGCAAACAACTTGACGAGCTGATATGTAGGCGGAGCTGTCTCTTCTAATCGTTGGCCTGTCAGAATGAATCGCCTTCCAGACGTAGGATATGCCAGCAAAGTTCCAGGCCAAGTTCTCTGTACTTTCCAGCTGTTCATCAGCTGTTCAAAGCGGGGAAATTGTGGTGAAAGCTCGCCAAGCGGGCAGTGGGGCGTCTACAATGGGCATTTGTAATACACAAAACATTTACTCCGTATTTTTTTTCTTTAGAGCACTCTTGGTAGTTCATGTAAATGCAGTTCCAATTTCTTTTGTAAGCCAACTTTTTTCTTTGCGAGACAGTTTTCTTATACCTTTCTTTATGGATAGGCGGAAAATGTAATTTTCTCAAGCCTAAACTTTTGCGGCTTAGAATTCATTTTAAAAAAAATTTACATTTATTTCACAACTATATTAAAGTTTGGAATTTATTTTAATAATTT